CTGGTTTTGACGGGCTAAGGTAGAGCAGGCATCTTGGATTTTAATGTGGCCAAGTAAGAGCAGCTCTTCTACCAGGCTGCGCTTTCTGAAGTCGGCAGCGCGCCTGTGCGGGCAGTGCCTGCCGCTGGAGGTGCGAACGCCTGACGTCTGCAGTCCCTGCCAGGGATGGCGATGCAGGACGGCTCTGGCTGAGCCCCGCTCCTGGAAGCACCTTTTCCCGCTTCCTATTCTCACGAGCGTGCCGTGAAAACGGGCAGCGACACAAGTGCGTCCACAGCAATTATTAAATCAGCTGCCACGACGATCCTGCGGGACCCGCAGGGCTTTGGGGTTTGTGTAAATCCAGGTGCCACCCGCCTGCCCCCCAGTCACGCGGCTCATGCCACTCCCTTGCACCCAGCACCGAGGTTTTACAGGGCAAATGGACACAGCTGCTGGCGCGGCAACTTGGGATGACAGCACAGGGGCCGCGTTTTCTTTCGCAAGCTAACGGTGAGGCTGCTTCACCCCGCGGCTTACGGTGAGCGCAAAAGGAAGGCTGTACGAAAGCACCATCTTTCCAGGGAACTGTTTTTATTGTGTGGTGAAAGATCGCATCTAAAATCAAAAAGAAGAGGAGTATCAAACAGCTTGTTTTACCTAGGACGTATAAACAAAGACACTGCTGAGGCTTGACTGAGCCGATTCCTTGCTCAAAGAAAAAGAGGCAACTGAGGCTTCCCTCTGCCTGTGCTTAACAGCAGTTAAGAAACAAGGTAACCGAGGGGTGCAGCTTCTCGAGAGACGGGCAAACGGAAAAGAACCAGGCGACACGTCGAGCGCGCACTGTGGGACGGCCCGGGAAGACGCGAAGTCAGCTGGCGGCTTTATCGCTTTCTCCGTTCTCTATGAGTTTCCTTTTCTTTTCATCCGTTTTCCTCTTGAAGATGCTGTCTCTGTAGAACTGCAGTTCTTTGATGCTTTCCCTGATGTCATCGAGTGCTCTGAAAGAGAATCGAGGAGGGTTTCAGAACACCTGCACCCACCCTTCAGCGACACCCGGATTCTAACACATCTGAAGAACCCTGGGCTGTAAGGCACCAAACTGATCCTACGAGAAGTCTGGCGCAGACACGTCAAGGCGCAGGTGTCTGTCCTGCGTTTTTTTTCTACGTTTAGTCTGCACAGAGGAAAGAGCAAGGTGGACGCACTTGCAGTGTGCCGAGCTGCCAAAGCCTGCAGGTCCCACCGCCCTCTCCAACTTCTGCTCCTCTGCACTAAAAGTCCCTTCCCCTTCACTAACCAGGTGACAAGCCCAGTTTCTGCGTGATAAGCCTCGCTCTGTTAGGCACAAAAGCAGAAACCTCACCTGTGGGAAGCCGCCTTCTTTGGTGCAAACTCATATTCCTCGGGATACCAGCGTCTGCAAGTGGAAGAAAGCGCCACTTAACAAAGGAAATTGGGATTCAAAATCACGTTCGGTGGCTGCTACAGGTTTGTTACAGCCGTTGAAAGCATTCCAGGTACCAGCCTTCCCCGGCTGATCCTCCGTGAGGACGGCTCAGCGTGGGGAAGAGTTACCTGCACAGCTCTTTGACAGTGCTCACATCAATGATCCGGTAATGAAGATGCCTCATGAACTGAGGCATGTATTTGTCAAGGAATTTCTTATCTGCGTGAACAGAGTTACCTACAAAGACACAAAACAAGATGTTTCTTCAAAGACGTTACACAGCTCCTGCGAACGACATCTAAAGGAGAAGCGGGCGAAGCGAGCTGGGGAAAGATCATAGGCTACGAAAAGCTATTCACAACCAGCTCGTTCATCCCATTTTCTAGGAAATACGATTGTAAAGGTTTGTCAGATTTTCGTTGCAGGATCACACGCGGTTTAAACGCGTAATGCCTCCATTAATTCTTCAGCTACTACTACAATTTGTGTCACACAGATAAATATCAAACTGTTGTGCAGGCACCGAGTTTTCCGCCAGGTGCGAACAGGTGCTGGCGCTGATTTCACTCGGCGTCAGTCCTGGCACCGTACAGGAACGTCCTGCAAGGCAGCACCTTCGGCAGATTCGTATCTGGTGTTCGGTCCCACATGTGGAGAGGAAAAGCCGCCGCTGGGTTTTGGATCTCGACACAGAAAGCTCAAGCGTCCCTGCCGCGCACGCCAGGAGCCCTGGTGACACCCAGCTGGGAGCTGCTGGGGGACGACGCTGTCGTTCTTAACGATAAACAGACTTTACCTGCGAGAGGACAGAGACCTGGTGGTGTCTGTTGCCGCACGAAGGACAGAAACTCATACTCCGCTTGCTGCAAGGAAATCTTGCTCTCCTTCACAGCCTTAGTAAGGCCAGACTGCAGAAAAAGAAGCATCCGTCAGAAATCGGCCACCGGGGTTTGGGGTTTGTCCTGTCCTGGTACTTCCTAGGGGTCCTCCTCGGTCCCCGAGGCATCCCGCACGCCTCCTCTGTACACCTGCACGTGCGTCACCAGCGAGAGCACTACGTTTCCCTCGGTTTGAGAAGCGTTCGCCTCCCCAGCACGGAGCAGCAGGCATAAATAAACAGCAATAATCAGGATCCTGTCTTAAGTGTTTATCAAGATTCCTACAAATCAGAAAAGTCCCTTCCTTCTTTCTTTCTTTTTTTTTTTTTCATCAGTTAAATGTCAAATCTGCTCCAAGTGTTCTCAGGGATTTATTTCCATCTGGCTACGCAATATATTTCCACGGCTGTGCCGCAAAAATCTACTTGACAGATCCAAGTGGTGGTTAAAAAATTCATTATGTGGCTGCATTTTCATCTATATTCTAATTGCTTCTCTTTTCTTAGTCAATTAAAAATAAGTAGCTCCTCAGGAACCGCGATAACGTACGCTACCGTCTTCAACGCGCTCGCAAACTGAAGCTGAATTTGAGTCCTCAGCTGGAGAAGGGGAAAAGCCCCCATCATGGCAAATTAATATTCATTTTCCAAACTCCTGGTAATCCTTCCTGAGGGGAGAGTGAGACGCCAAGGAGGGGCGGAGGGGGGGGAGCTATGGGTGTCTTAAAACTTCAGCCCTTAATTGAAAACTAACTTGAATTTCAATTCGTAATCGGGGATTGGAAAATCTATTCACTTTCTTGCTGCTGGCAAGGAAGGAGCTTTCTTTGGTGGCTGAAAGAACTAAAAATAATCCCTTGCTGCACTAGTTAAGCTTCTGGTGAAAAAGCCCACCAGGCTCCCAGCGCCAAGGGGACAGGCTAAAATAACAACCCGACGTTTACAGTAAGTCAGCCTCTTTAATCCTACAAGTGCCTATGTTTGTGGGGATAAATCTTTTTTTGGCTCTGGAATGCTCTAACACTGATCTCACACCTCCTCTTTCCTCTTAGTTGGGACTTCAAGCCACATCCACCCCGTCTCCATCGGATTGATTCTTTGCATTATTTCAGGCAACACAGGGCAGGCTTCACCAGCCTCCGCAGGGACCGCGCTGGTATTCCAGCGAGCAGACCGGTGAGCTGGACCCCGTGTCCCACCGTCCTGCCGAGAGGCACGGGGCTGCGCCTGGGGAGGGGGGA